CGGACGATTGCTCCCCGGACATTGGGGTCCTTAAGGAAACACCCTCTGCAAATCCGAAAAGAAAAACACCCTCTAAGATATGAGTATGAAAGAGCTTGTTGCTAGCATTTTTTTACTACCAATAGTTGAAAGATGCAGTAGGAAAACACAATACTACCCGCTTTTTGGTTTATTAGGCATGCTTGTATCCCTAGAATAACAATTTGTCAACATAGTATGATCTATATATAACTAGAAAGATAGTGATTGAAATGTCAAATGATCTATTTTTCTAGTGGTATAAAAAGCGAGAAAATTGAAAAGACTACAAACAAGGTTTGTTACATGCTCGCCAAGGAGCCAAATAGACGACAACAAGCAAAGTCAGAATAAACCGAGCAATATAGATTGTAGGCGTCTGTGCAGGGTGCCTGGTCTTGTGCTGAGCAAGCTTAAAGCGCCGCATCACTTCCTCCGGCATGGCTTTGTCCTTCGCTCTCCCTAGCGACTCCCAATTTGGAAAAAGAGCATTGCTTTCAAAACATAAGCTGCAGGATAAGAAAGAATAGAACCCTCAATCATAACGTATATTCCGCAATGCATTGCATTGGCAACAAAGAGACGCCAAAACAACCCTGCGAGTGCTACCCTTCAACCCATGAACAATTGTCAACCAGTCTCAGGTGGATATAGTACCCTAGTCTGTGCCTACCATATTGCGAATGCAGCTCCAAATAACTTTCGCCGGGCTGCAAGAAAAAAAATACGCTCCGCGTCTTTTGGATTGCCACTAAGGAAACAAAAACCATGGCTTGGAACATGTCTCTGCTGAATATTATTGCTGCAAATAAACAAAAACCATAATAATAGTTATCCATCGGTCGACATTGATTGCCGTCTGATGAAGATCATCACACCCCTTTTATAGTTGCACGACCTTGATGTTGAAAATCAGGCCACCCTTGAGGTGACCCCAAAATAGCTATTTCTCTTGTTTAGTGTATTTCCGGGTCGGCTAAGAAGAAGAAGAAGAAGAGAAAACAAATACAAAATCAACCTACCTAGGCAGCTAGATGCAATGAAAGCTGCACCTTCTAACAAAAATTCAAAAGCACAGTGATGTTTTTCGTTCTCCAAACTTCATTTCATGGAACCGTGACGCTGTGATTAAGCCGGTCCATCGTCCATGTGCTAATTACACTCCAGGACAAGAGCTTGCACAGTATAAAGTACGTACGTCCTCTCCCCTTACAGCTCAATCATCATCATGGCCAAATTGACGCACGCACGAACGAACGATCCAGCCACGTACGGGACCAACACCGCACCATCACCAATCACCAAAAGGTAAAGCGACCGATCGATCGAGGACGAATTCAATGGCCCGGCGGACCCCTTGATAAAGCCAGACGTCCGCGGAAGCTGCCTGTGATTGATTAATCATCACCACACCACACCACACCACACTCTTTATTTAATTAACCACGCAAAAATCAAACACCTTTATATAAGCAGGAGCAAAGTAATATATGTATCCCTCCATCGTCGATCCTTCTGTGTTCGTCATATGCACTTTTACACGCAAAGTTATACAGATCAATCAATCAATCAATCACCAAATCAAGATGAAAGAAAGAGAGAAAGAAAGAAACAAGAGGGAACGTAAGGGAGAAACAATTTACAAACCAAAACCTCACCAAACATTTCTTAGTATAGCTACTAGGAGTATTATAAACTCGCGTATACGTTACAATCTGGATCTTTGCATGTCGTGGCGGCAGCGGCGGTTGATTGCCGGCCGCCGGCCGTTGGTGTCGGGCTGTCGGTTGGGTACTTGGGTTCAATTCAAGCACCAGTTGATGCCGAGCCCGTGCGCGTCGAACTGCGCCGTGGCGGCGTCGGCGGCGGCCTTGCTGTCGCCGTAGATGCACTGGCCCTGCTGGTGGTACTGCGGGTAGCCGCCGTCGAACACGTAGTCGGACCACTTGAGCTCGTCCAGCGCCGCGCCGTAGTGGTCGGCGGCGGCGCCGGCGCCGGCGCCGTCCTCGGTGCAGCTGCTGATCGACCCCAGCTCCAGCCACGGCAGATGGTGGTTGCTGCTGCTCTGCGTGGTCGACGACTCGAACCCGCTGCCGCTGTTGCTCGGGTTGTTTTTGTTGTTGTTGTTGCAGCACAGCTCGTCCGTAGCGTTGCCGTTGGCCACGCCGCCGGGGCTCACGCCGGCCATGGAGTTAAGCGTGCTGGAGCTCGACACCGACGGGATGACTGCGCCGTGCAGGGCGTCCGCATCCAGGTACCCGGCGAAGTCCGCCGTCTGGTTGTTGTTGTTGTACCCCGACAGCGAGGACAGTGACCCATCGTCGCTGCACCCGCCCACCACGCCGCCGGCGCCGTCCATGCTGCCCCGGCTGTACACGTAGCTCTCCGCCGACACCAGCGGCGGCATGTGCGGTCCTCCCACGGGGGACGACAGTATCAGCTCGGCCTCGCTGAACACGGCGGAGCGGCTGACAGGCGTGGCGGCAGCGGCAGCGCCGGCTGGGGCGAGCGGCTTGTGGGTGGCCGGGTCGATGCCGCGCTGGCGGAGCTTTTTCTTGATGAAGGAGTTCCAGAAGTTCTTGACCTCGTTGTCGGTGCGACCGGGCAGCTGCGCGGCGATCTGAGACCACTTGTTGCCGAGGATGGAGTGGAGGTGGATGATGAGGTCCTCCTCCTCCTGCGAGAAGGCGCCCCTCTTGAGGTCCGGCCTCAGGTAGTTTATCCACCTCAGCCTGCAGCTCTTCCCGCACCTCTCAAGGCCTAACAATGCAGCAGCAAATTAATTAAAACCCGATTAATCCCATCAAATTAGCACTTCAAAACTGCTAACTAATTCTCCACACAACAAACATTGCCAATCAATTGCATCACATAAAAGGAAGCCATCTCTAATTTAGATAGAAAATGTTATAGTGGCACTAGCTAGCATAACTGGCCAGAAAGCTACTGCTGCATTGGCGGATCAAGGAGGGGGCAAGAGCTAGTGCAGTAGTAGTGAACTAGGGATGTGGCTATAGGCTGGTACGGTACCTGCAATCTTGGGGACGGAGCTCCAGCAGCCGTTGCCGTACTTGGCAATGTGGTTCATGAGCTTCTCGTCCTCCTCCGGCGACCAGAGGCCGCGCTTGAGCCTCTTCTTCGTCCCGCCGGGCCGCTTCGACATGCCGCCGACTGACTGAGACGACGCAAACCGAAGCTCAGTTTCTTTGCCGCCCGTGCAGCTTTGCTAGCCGGCCGTGGCGAGCAGAAGGCGGCGGCCGACGATGGCGGCAATGGCAGAGGAGGGAACGACCGACGGAGCGATGGAGGGAAGACAAAGCGAGGGCAGAGTATAAAAGGGGCCTCGGGGCGGAAGGCGGGGGGTCGCTCTCAGGTAGGTGCCAACGTAGCGCTTGCCTCGCTCCTGCTAGCTACAGCCCAGAGTGTAGAGAGTACACACACACGGAGCTAGCTAGCCAGTGTCAGTACTGCTGCCGGCGTACTCTCTCATCTTTTCAGCTCCAGTGAACCCGCCTTTGCCCATCCGTCGGGGCAGATAGGTTGGTCGTGAAATCTTTTGCCCGTGTCGTGTGCGTCGTGTGTGTGTGGGCTGATTAGACAAAGAGATTAGGTCTCCTAACTGTCCACCCAGCTGCGGTAGGGCTGGTTGACTCTTTAGTGTCCCCCCTGCTTTTCCGCGCCTTTCCCCCGCTTAATCATTTTTCACCTTGACACCTTTGCATCCTCCACTACCACACCACCCACACAGATGCTGCATGCATTGCATTGCATGCACCCCGTGGGGCTTTGGATGACGCTCACTTTGCGTTAGGATCACTTCTTGAGGCTGCAAGTTGTCTGGAACGCAAGCAATTGAGCAGCACGGCAACAGACATGTCATGTCGATCGATCCTCTCTCGTGTAATGCATCTATTCTCCACCACGCATATGAACCAACAGTTACGTACGTAGCCCCTTCAATTCCTGTCAATATAGGGTACGTGTCACTTTTGAGTAATGTCTCTATCAAGTAAACATTTTTAAGTTTGGTTATTCATGCATGTAGAAAAAGGAACCACAAACATTTATTGACAGTGTCAAACTGATAATACTGAATGATACATTTCTGTCGGTCATTCAACAGTTACGTACATAACCCCTTCAACTCCTCTCAATATACATGTTACTCTAGAATATGTCTCAATCAATAAAGCATTTTTAAGTTTGTCTTTAGATGTAAAAAGTATCAATAACATCTATTGGTGTTCAAAAATTGGTAGGTACTGCTAAATCCATTATGAAATATAATATACATATCTATGTTTTCTTTTGCGAGATATATATATGTTTTTTAATTACATGTTTCGGAGAATCAGTGATCAAAATGATATGTTGGAAATGGTGCCAATATTTTACGAAAATCTTACATGCTTAGTTCAGTCTAAGGGCAGTTATTCCCACAAACTGCTTGGAGGTGGCATTCCACATTTCACAGTACGTAATCTTTTTGTATGTAAGAATAGGATTTCTTGTGGGGTAGCGCGTTTTGGTGACCGGGCTCCATGGAGGCCAATTATTTTTGAAAAAAAAATCAAAAATCAAACTTTCCGGTTTGAAAAAAATCTGAAAAAAATATGCATGTACATAAGCATGAAATGTATGTGCGTGCAAAAACTTAACGAGGAAATACCTTGAATTGCGACATGTACAAAAAACAAATTCATGATCTTTGGGGATGAACAGTATCATGTGCTAAAAAACCACGTTTTTTTTCCATAGCCCTCATTCAACGTATTTCATCTTGAAAATTTACACACATGTATATTTTGCCTCCATGTATATCTATATATATTTATTTTCAATTTTTTTAAAACATAATAATATGAATTTTGATTTGAAAAAAAACATCCATGGAGCTCGGCCTCCAAAAGCAATTTTCGTTTCCTGTGCCAATACATACTGAAACCGGCATGTATTTCAACACGCAGGTAGTACTGCTTACTACTAGCCAAATGCCACAGTAGAGGAACCTTATCGTGTCACTGATGCGTACGGAGCTACCTGTAGCAAGTGATCCCATCCCTACCAGTAGAGTGGACGTTGGGTTACAAGAAAGAGGGAGCTGGAAGGAAAGGCCAAATGGCCCATGTGACACGAGAGAATTAATCCGGGGATCGACACTACAGCAAAGCATGCGTGGACAACAGGGCACTGCAATCATAGCCACATAACCATTAGCTAAAACACGTTCGCTTTTCCTAGCTAGCTAGCTATATGACGAAGCAATCAAACTAGTCTATAATGTGTGTGTGTGTGTGTGTGTGTGTGTGTGCGATCCCTGCTTTGGCCACAGCGATCCAGGGTTTGTATATGGAACAGATCAACGGGTAGATCATTTTCCCTGGCAGAGAGCCAGTCGCCAGCGAATAGTGACCGCGTGACAAAGAGCGTTTATAGCAGCACACGTGCCCCCACGCACCGACAGGGTTCACTGTGGTGCTCGCGCCCGAGTGCATGAAATGTTGGGTTCACGCTACGTACAAACGGGCCGGCGCCATCTGCGTCAGCCGCCGTCGACTTGTCGCGCTCGCCCGTCTGCGATTTCTTCTTCTGCTGCTTCTTGAAATGAGACGTGAAGATGCTGCTGGAGCAGAATGGACGACGGAGAAGAGCCGATCGACACCTGAGCTCGCCTAATTAAGACCCTAAGCTCTATTTGGCAGGGTTGAAGGGAGAGGAAGGAGGTGATGCATTTCACGGCATCTCTCGGGAGGTTGGGGATGATATTTTCCGTGGTCCATGGATCCGGAGGGAAGATTGGTAGGGAACCAGCGGATTTGTTGTGGAAGGCCTCATGATGGAACGTTCGAAACTGGGTGGAGGTGGTGCCGAACAACGGGCCGGCGAACGAAGTAAATCTACAGGGTCGTCTCTGGCACGGAGGAGGTGGAGCAGTGACGTTGACATGACTGTGAGTTGTATGAGTTGGAGCATCTCCGGCCGTTGACCCCAGGCGGCGGTTTTACACGCTCTCTGGGGGCGTGTCGGCGCTAAAATCGACGCGGGGGCAAGTGGGTTTCAGCCGCTCGCCCCAGGGTCGTCCCCAGACGCGTTTTATTTATTTTAAATAATTTGAATTCAGCAAAGTTCAGCTAAAATCCAGCAAAGTTTGACTAAAATTCGGCAAACTTGATATTTATATTAAACATGTTCGGCGTTTTACATAAATTATTAAAAAAATAATCTAAGGGGAGAAGAGACCGATCAGCGCGGGGGAGTCGCCGACGTCCCCGCCGTCCTCGTCGTCGTCATCGGCCTTCTCCTTCTTGATGGCGCGGCCTCCCGTGTTGGACCCTTGCCCAACGGCTCCATGGCGGACATGCGGGCATCGTCGTCGCTGTCGTCGAGGACGACGATGCCTCCCTCATCCCGGCCACGGCGACGAGCTTCGAACCGCGCGAGGGCGGCGCACTGACACTCCTTCTCTGCATGCAGCCAGTCATCGCGCGCCCATTTGAGGGCCGCCTCGTCGTCGAGCGCCTCCTCCTTGACGCCGCCGGCGATCCCGGGCTCCGTCTTCACGACGGGGAGCCCTGGCTCTGTCTTCACGACGGGGAGCCCTGGCTTTGTCTTCGGCTTGACGAGCCGGGGAGGGGCCGAGGAAGAGGAGCAGCCGCCGCCTTTGTTGATGTTGATGCCGGTCGGGCGGGTGCGCCGGCCGAGCAGGGTCTCCGCTGCGGGCTCAAGGGTATGGGAGGAGGAACGGGACGAGGACGACGAGCCGGAGACGAACCTCCTTGGCATCCATTGCCCGGCGCCGCGGCGGGGCACCGGAGCGGCGGCCGGTCCTCGAGGGTATGTGAGCGGTGGGTTGTTGCCGCCCTCGAGGTGCGCGAGAACCTCGCGGAGCGTCCGGCCGGGGATGGACCACCACAGTCGTCACCCCTCGCTGCTCCACCGGCCGCCCGCCACCACCGGTGCCCCGTTGGTGGAGGCGAGGCGCTGCTCCTGACGGCGCTGAAAGTATGCCGCCCACGCCTTGTGGTTGTTGGCGGTGTACTGCGGGGAGGCGCGCTGCTCCTTGGTTAG